CGGGGAATTTTATCTGAACTCCTAAATAGAGATAAGTCTACGCCTAATACGCGTTGCCGGTTTAGTCTTTCACCGATTGAAAAAGACACCAAGGTCTACACCTGGAGAATTTTATCCCGAAGCCTAAGTAGGGATGAGTCAACACATAACACGTATTGCCGGGTAGTCTATTCCCGTAACAAGGGCGAAGCCTATGTATTCGAAATCATGGCACAAAGTCTCAGAGAATTCACTCTCTTAGCACAACGTTACATGCGGAACGGATTCAGACAATCCGCATGCTAGCCCGATTCAAACGGTAATCGGTAAAGGCACATCAAACCCGTTGAAGGCTGGGGGTTTGCCAAAAATCCCAAAATCTATGTCTAACACACATTGCCGGTTTAGTCTTTCACCGATTGAAAAAGACACCAGAATCCAGTCTGGGGTATTTGATCCCGAAGCCTAAGTAGGGATAAGTCAACGCTTAACCCGCGTTGCTGGGTGATTCGTTCCCATAAAAACGACCGAGTCTACGTATTCAGCATCGTAGCAACAAAAATCCATGCCTTTTATGCATGGGGAATTTTATCCCGAAGCCTAAACAGGGATAAGCCAACGCCTAACACGCGTTGTCGATTTAGTCTTTTACCGATTGAAGAAGACACCAGAATCCGAGTCTAGGGACTTTTATCCTGAATCCTAAGTAAGGATAAGTCAATGCCTAACACGCGTTGCCGGGTAGCCTGCTCCCGTAACAATGACGAAGTCTACGTATTCGAAGTCGTAGCATCAAGTCTAAGGGAGTTCATTCCTTTAGCACAACGTCACATTCGGAACGGATGTAAACAATTCGCTTGCTAGCCCGACTCGAACGATAGTCGGTAAAGGCAAATCAAATCCGTTTATGGCTGAGGATTTGCCAAAAATCCTAAGTTTACGTCTGACACACGTTGCCGGGTAGTCTATTCCCGTGAGAAAGACGAAGTCTACGCATTCAATATCGTAGCACTAAAAGGGTTAACTCTTTTAGCTTAACGTCACATGTGGAACGGACTTAAACAATCCGCATACTAGCCCGACTCAAACGGTAGTCGGTAAAGGCTCATCAAACCCGTTGATGGCTGAGGATTTGCCAAAAACTCTATAAATGCGAGTTATTGATGCATCAGCTCTGTTAGCTGGTCTCGTGACTCGATTATCTAACAACATTAAGATAAGATCCACACATGCAGATGAATCAGCTTTAACAGTTGGTCCTGCAACCCCGACACTTGGGACCGCTGTGCTCCAATACCTTAAGAGCTTAAACTGTGTATACTCCAGCAAACGTACGAGTATAAACTGTGTCAACGTACGACGTTCGAAACCCTAGGGGTCAACGCTGGTCAACGCGTAACCCTAGGTCAACGCCAGTCAACGCGTTGCGACCAAAAAGTCAATGTTCGACGTTCGAAACCCTAGGGACAACGCCGGTCAACGCGTAACCCTAGGTCAACGCCAGTCAACGCATTGCGACCAAAAAGTCAACGTTCGACGATCGAAACCCTAGGTCAACGCCAGTCAACGCGTTGCGACAAAAAATCAACGTTCGACGTTCGAAACCCTAAGGTCAACGTCGGTCAACGCGTAACCCTAGGTCAACGCCAATCAACGCGTTGCGACAAAAAGTCAACGTTCGACGTTAGAAACCCTAAGGGTCAACGTTGGTCAACGCGTAACCCTAGGTCAACGCCACTCAACGCGTTGCGACAAAAAGTTAACATACGATGATCTGGAACCCTAAGTCAGCACGATGTGACAGAGATAGTCAGTTCAAAGTCAATTCAATAACACGAGCCAAACTCAACTCACTAGTGATAGACTCGAGATTCCGACGACGACCAGGCGATAAACGCAGTGCCGGAAGAACTTCGGTTATTCGTCAAAGCATTGAATAGACCGAAAAAATCGAAGGAGTCAAGAGTTGAAGCTAACTACAGGTCCTTTACGCCGACTGAAGGCTAGACCAATCACATCCAAAGTATTCCAGCCTCTTCTATAAAAGAAACGAGTCCGGAATGCTTTGGAGTGGATATCTGTAGGCATCGAAAATTACCTATAGGTCTCTACGAACAGCTCAGTGTTAAGGAATGACGATGAACGTCACTATCCGGTTCACAGGAGTTCGATTGACGTCGGTGAACGCTTGAAGTGAATCAACGAACTACGTGAGCTGACAGAATTCCGGAATGACGAAGGTGCGGGCTAATCGGGAGCACCGCGATATTTACAAAAGGAACAACGCCCTTCGTGTCTCATTCATTCTACAGATAATCCAACCATTGGAGCTGATAGAACTCTTTGTCGGCTTTCCAACGCATTTGGAATCACTCAAATCCGGGTTCAAACGAAGAAGTTACAGCGAAAACGGTCAAACGGGCATTAAAAACGTCTCAAAGCTGAACCGAGGCACCTACGACACCCGTAGGGTGTCTTAGCGCGGATTTGACCCCTTTGAGTGGTTTTAACCGCTCTGCAACCCCTCATGCCTATAAATACAAGCCTTAGGCCTCATTTTTTCAGATCTGGAATTTTGGAGATTAGGCGAAGCCCTGCCGGATTGAAGACTGAAGGTGCACGGATTTTAGAGAGGAGGAGGAGAGATCGGATCCAGTTCTTCAACGCAAGAGAGAGAGATTCGTCAGATCTACATCACCCGTACCCGATCCTTAGTCTTATCCCGTTGTCGTAATACTAAGAAGAGCAAATATCTCGCTTTTATCGAGATAGGCGCTTCAAGTTTCTAGATCTCCTCGCGGATCGACGAAGCTCTGCCCAATTTTTCAGCAATCAGATCTGATCGACGGTGGTCCACGGATAAACCCCGGCACATGCAAAGATCTCACGCAAGCAGAAGACCGATGAACGATCTCTGCGTTTGTTTGATAAAGTTGTAAACTTTTTTTTATTTTTATTGTGTAAGGAGATCTTATAAAAAGATCAATTTTTTATTTCATTCGAGTTTATTGTAACGACTAAAGTTGTAATAGATTCGATAACAATAAAAATAGCAACTTTCTCCGCAAACAATTATCATTGGGAATCTTATCTAATACACAGGTCCTATCTGAAACACATGTGGACGTCGACGTCAGCGGACCACGATCTATACTTTTTGAGCTCAAATTGTTAGCAATGCTGTAAATGTTTAGAAAATAAACAAATAATCAAAAACTAAACCAATAATAACATAAACAAATAATAACATAAACAAATAATAATCAAGTTGGACTTAACACGAAATTAGACCTAACATGAACTAGTATTAGACTTAACATGAACTAAAATTAGACTTAACACGAATCTGTTATTAGACCTAACATGAATTGAAATTAGACTTAACATGAACTGATTTTAGACTTAACATGAACTGAAATTTGGACTTTAACATGAATTGAAATTAGACTTAATACGAACTGTTATTACCTTACATGAACTGAAATTTGGACTTAATATGAATTGAAATTAGATTTAACACGAATTGAAATTAGACTTAACATGAACTGTAATTAGACTTAACATGAACTGATTTTAGACTTAACATGAACTAAAATTTAGACTTAACATGAATTAAAATTAGACTTAACATGAATCAAGTTTGACTTAACATGAAATTAGACCTAACATGAACTGTTATTCGACTTAACATGAAATTGGACCTAACATGAACTGCTATTAGTAGACCTAACATGAACTGAAATTAGACTTAACACGAATCAAGTTGGATTTAACATGAAATTAAGTCTAACATGAACTGTTATTAGACTTAACATAAATTATATTTAGACTTAACATGAATTAAAATTAGACCTAACATGAACAGTTATAGAGTCAACATGAACTGTATTTAGACATAACACGATTCAAATTGGACTAAACATACAACGCTTTGAACTTAACATGTTCTCACTTGCAATAACATAATGAAATTTAGACTTAACATACAACACAGCGCATTGGACTTAACATTCTGCTTTTAGGCTTATTATTCCATACAACACAATGCCTTGGACTTAACATAAAAGCCCTTAAACTTATGTTCCAACTCATTACACTTAACGTCATAAATATTAAACTTAACATCAAAAGATCAAATAACTTACCGGTCTTGTCGCACTCTCATTGTTATGGATATTTAAGAATCATTTGTTTCTTGAAAAGCTTTCATGTGAATCTCTTTTAATCCAATATGGTGGCAATGTTCCACCATAGACGACAGATCATCTTCATTCTCAATAGGAAAATTGAAGGTGTCGTTTGTTTCATCTTTGTACGCCAAAGATAAAGAATCATATGGAAGTTTTAACCTCTGACACATCAAATTTGAGATTCATCATGGTGGCTGAAGAGTTAATTTTTAAGAAAACTGTTTTATCATCCGAGAAGACAATACAGATGATAGCCTTCTTAGCCATTATGAAGGGAAGGTAGGAGTAATTGAGAGAATTTTAGGATAAAGAAGAGTAATAGAAGGAGCAATGGGGAGAATTTTATGATAAGGAGGAGTAATGGACTACTAACTAGTTATTGCTCATGATAGAGAAAAAATAGGGGGGAAATTTCCCTTCATTTCTCCCATCAGATCGCATTAATGCGACATGACTTTCCCCCCATGGGGGCGCTGCATCTGAGGAAGAAGGAGAAGGGCAATTTAGGATTTTTTTTCCAAAATACACTCTTTTTTGTATACAGCTAACGTGGAGGGGCCTTGACACATTAAATGAAACTTTTTGGGTCTGATCCACATGGGGAAAAGATGGGGGGCCTGGTCACATGAAGTTAATGCTTTTGGGGCCTTGACACAATTTTCCCAAAAGTTTTCAATAGATTCTCATCAGGAAACAATCAGCCTCAGCTGGTGTTTCTTATGTGCCAAGGTACTGAACACAGATCAAACATTGGTTGATCGAACTGGAAGTATTTCAAGGAAAAGAATCTACAACATCATGGTAAGAATCATAATATATAATTTCAAGAGATGTTTCCCAGTTAAACGTCCCTTACTTATGGTTATGCTTACTCTTCATTCAGGAAATAGATCTTGAAAAACAAAAAATAAGAATAGGTCATGGATATTTAACACGTTTTAATCATTCAAAGTTTTTCAAGTCTACTGAAGATTACTCGCCTAGATTGCAGAAACTTATCTTTCGCTTCTTCGATGGAGGGTTCTCATCTAACTTCAACCTTCTTCCAATACAAATGCTCTCATCATCACTCACTACATCATTGACAACTTCCTTTTGCATGTTTGTTTTGTTTAGAGAAACCCGATTCTTTTTTGCTGGATTTCCATCTTCCAATCTAATCTTCCTCTTGAAAGATAGATAGTTCTCATCTTCAAATTCAGAAACCAAATGAAATCAGAAACAAGAAATAAACAAACAAGGATGTGTCTTCCAATATTTATGGAAGGAAGAATGAAAGGTTTATACACTCCATATTTATGCGAATCCAACGAAGAATTAAGCACCACGTAACAAGATAAATGAGAGCAATAGGTAGATATCTAATAATACTTGCACAGATTTTTAATCAGCGAAAATACCTAAAGCTTTTCCTGTCAATAAAATGGATTCTCATACATACAAACATAAACATGCAGAGGCAAACACAAACACACGCAAACACAGTTAAACACAAACATATATGGTGTTAAAATGTAAGAATCTACCCTCACCACAACTTCGAAATTTTGGTGCAATGGCAAGGACTTTAGAACGGTATCAAACCACAAGTCCCAATCTTGCGAACTACGATTTTTTAAATGGATTAAAAAACTTAATACTGCTTGGTGAATCCAAGTTTCTGCCCTTTAAAAAATGTTCTTAACCGCAGAAGCATGTTAGAATATAAAAATATAACTCTCAACTCTCACCACAACTCTGAAGGACTTTAAGACATAGACACACAAAACACAAATAGGGTCATAGTCACACATGCATATACACAACATATACATGCATGCATACTTTAAGTTGCTAAATTTATGTTTATATGTTAAATTGGTGAACAAGCAAATATGCAAGTGAGTATTATATTATGCTTTTCAAATTATTAAAACTGCCTTGTACTTCAAAAAGGCGTTGTAGCAAATCTTTCCTATGCGCCTTCTCAAAATTTAAAATTCTTGCTAGGTATGTTACTCCGTGTTATTTGAGGTGCTTATATGATGATAAAATGCACAAAATGAAACTTTATCCCTTAAATAATTAGCTCCTTGTTCTAAATGACCCCAAATACCCCAATAAGTTTCCGCGTTTTTCAGATAAGCCCCATGACGGCGTCAGTCCACATTTGACGTTGGTGACACATCAGAATATCAAACAAATACCCCCAAATATAAATATTTAGCGCACAGGTGTGGGAGCATAAAAAAAAATACTGAATGCAAAACCCTTCAACTACAAATAAAGTTCAAAATATTCAATTATGTTCACAGTTCAACTTTCAACAATATTAATGAAATAATCAGAATAATTATAAATTAAAGTAAAGTAAAAAAATTTAAAAAAAAAACCCCAAACCTGCGGCGGTCTTGCCCTCAACGACGATGGCGTCGCCGTCAGAACCTCCGGCGGGAAAACCACGTGAGGAGAAGAAGGAGAGGAGTGAGGCCCACGTGACAGAGGAGACAAGGTGGGGCCCGCGGCTCAGAAAGGTGCGTTGAGCCTCAAGGTGGCGGGGGTCCAGACCTAAAGACCTCCCGATGGCGACCGAGGTCTACCCTACGTCGCCGGAGACGGGGAAGGTTGACGGACGACGGCCTGTCGTCGTCGCCGGCGAGGACGAGCTTGACGGTTCTCGACGTTGAATTTAGCATTTAAATGTTTGGTAAAGGGAGAGATATTTGAGAGTTGAGAATTGAGGGGTTTTTTGATTTTTTTTTTTTTTTTTTTACTATTATTAGTTGGGGTCGAGAAGGGAGAGGAGAGTTCTAGAGGGGAGTGACCGAGCGGGAGGGGACTCTAGAACCGGACAGGAATCTGGAAGGGTCGAAGAGGAGTCTTGGTAAATTTAACAAAAGCCCTTCATCTCTTATTTCAGTTGCACTCAACCCCCTCATCTTATCTATTGTCAAGTCCAAATCAGGATGCAATTTGCCCTAATCGTAATTTGTAAGAAGTCATTCTCAGTTATAATCATCTGCTCGGAATGATAATTGCGCTTTAATCATAACCATAGTTTATGACTGTAGCTATAAAAATTAAACCACTGAACTCAGTTACAAACTATTTGTGGCTTTAAGGTATTGATTCCAAAAACACAGTGATCTGAAATAGCAAGCATGTTATTTGAAAATACCGCCAAATTGTATATAATTTGTCAGTTTTTTTTTTTTTTTTGCAGGGTTGACTTTTGTTGGAAATACCGCCAAATTGTATATAATTTGTCAGTTTTTTTTTTTTTTTTGCAGGGTTGACTTTTGTTGGCTTGATTGACAATGTAAAGCTCATTTGCAGGTTAAAAAAAGTCTGCAACTGCAACTTATGTTCAAACGTGTGTAGCTCATGATTGACAATTTCACACATTTCCATCCCTAAAACTCACCCACAACATCTAATAAAATATTATTTTTATCCAATAACTCATCAATCACATCTAATAAAATATTATTTTTATCCAACAACTCATCCATCACATCCACCACATCTAATAAAATATTATTTTCATCCACAACATCCCTCAACTCATCTCATCTCATATTTAAAAATCACACACATCATCCAATAAGATTGTAACAACTCATCTCATCTCATTAACATTTCATTTCTTTGTTTTCCTCCCAAAAAGCTAGGAAAACAATTTCCTTAAGTGTGGGTCACATCATCCAATAATATAATGACAACTCATCTCATCTCATCTATTTTCTTATTTTTAAGAAATAACCAAACAAAAGAAAACAACCTAATACAAGAAATAGGTTTTTTATAATTCATTTTCTTATTTTTTTTCACCAACCAAACAACATCAAAACAAGTTTTTTTAAAAAATCACTCACATCATCCTATAATAAGGTGACAACTCATCTCATCTCATCTTCATTTCTTTGATTTCCTTCTTTTTTTTAGCCAACCAAACGATCCCAAAACTTATTTTTCTTAGAAATAGGTTTCATTTTCTTTGATTTTCCTCTTTTTTTAGGCAAACAAACAGCCCCTAATACAATAGTTATAGCTCTTTTAATCATGAGGAACGTCCTTCAAGATACCAGTTAGAAAGGATTACGAGTTAGGTTATAAATATATAACCATCAATCCCTACCACGAGTTTTGATGTAATAATTAGGGACTTTAAGATGGAATCAGAAAAACCCAAATTTAAATTCTCACTGATAACAAATTTAAAAAGGATTTTCTAAAATTTAACAGCGCTCAACCGCATGAGGCAAGTTAGAATATGAATATAACCCTCACATCTCACCGCAACTTCTGGGAGTTCTGATGTAATGATTGAGATTTTAGAATACATTGATGTGACCAATGAGTTTTCCACCTCCACTGTGACTTAGATCAATTGCCTCCTTATGAAATTATTTGTAAACTTTGACAGTCATGGAATATCCATTATGCCCAGCACCGCAAGGGCATGACATCTCTAGCATTCCTCAAGCCTCAAAAAGCTGTGGATGTTTGTGGAAAATTTGTAGTAAATAAAATGAAAGAAATTTGATTTGTATTCTCTCGATCTTAATTACAATTTGGATTTCCGATTACAAAAGAGAGGAGAATTGATCTGAATTCTCCCATTTGTTTAATTCTAGGTTCTTCACGGTGGCGATGGAGTGCCTCCCTCGAATGCTCGCATCGAGTTTGCTCTCCGTTGACGATCTGAACGTCTTGTGTCACTGGAACGTGGTCTTCTCCTTACGATTTGATGTTATGGAGGACTTGCGTGGTAAGTTTGAAACTCTGAACGAGTTGATAACTCAGAGCAAGTTTAAACTCTTGTAAAAGAATTGATTGATCTTAACCGTAATTGGTTAGACAAACCAAGCATGAAGATATCCCCAAGAATCTGTTGCCGAGAAGATGATCCGAAGAAGCCGATCTCTAGATCTCTAAAATTCTCAAAGATCCAAAGATATCCCCCC